GCGGCCGCGTAGACGAAGGCGGGGGTCTCGTCGCGCTGGAACTGCCGGCGCGCCGCGCGCTCCAGCTCCGCGCTCTGCAGGCTGGCGGCCGACTCCGCGGCCAGCAGGCTGCGCTCCCCGCCCGGCGCGCCCGGCTCCGGCTGCCGGCGGCGCCGCTCGCCCATCAGGCTGCTCAGGCTGCGCAGCGTGTACTCCACGTCCTCGCTCGCCTTGCGGGACATGGGGCGGGAGAGCGGCGGCGGAGGGGAAGGTGCCGCCGGCCGCCGCGCTCCTCCTCCTCGGTCCCGGGCTGGCGGCCTCTGCCGAGCTGGCGCTGCAGAGCGACCGGGGACGGGCCTGAGGGGGCGGGGGGAGGGAGGAGGAGGAGGAGGAGGAGGAGGAGGCTCTGCGTCACGTGCCCTCTCCGGGGAAGGGGGCCGGGCACGCCACGCCTCCTCGTGGGCGGGGTCTTCGGAGGTCTGCTGCTCCGTGGGCGGGTCCGTGTGTGGGATGGGCGGGAATATTGAGCGGGGCCGGCCTCCCCTGTGGGGAGGGGCTACCGGGGTTGTGGGCGGGGCCAGGCGCGCCCCTCCTGCTCCGGCTCTTTCCCTGAGCCTGGGACCTCGCAGCGCTCGGTGTGGAGGCCCCGGGCCAGGGCTGCGTCGCTCCGCGATCCCGCGGCCGCTTGGGCTGTGCTGGGGCAGGCAGGGCCACGTCCTCGGCCGGCTGCAGCTTGCTTTCTCACGGACGCTCTTTCTTCCAGTTCTGCCCACTTTAAAGGCATGTCCCAGTTGACGCTCCCTCCGAGGAGAGAGAACGTGTCTCCCAGGTGGGGAGGAGGGAAAAGCAACTTCGCCTGCCAACACCCGCCCGTACCGAACCAGCAGGTTCCAGGTGCAAGGAAGGAAACTGAGATCCCTTCCCGCCCTGCAGCAGGCAGGCCGGAAGGGTCCGTTCTCCCCTGAAAGCCCCTCTGCCCGGCAGTTGAAGACGCTATTTTAAACGCCTATTGGCTCGAAACACACTAATTTCACATCATTTTAATTGTTAACCGCCAGGTGTGATTGGTTTGGAACTTTTACCCTCTGATTTGAATATTCTGAAAATTATTTCAAGTTGTTCCTTTACCCCCCCAAAGCGCTCTCCTTCTCCAGCCTCTGGATACTGTGTTTAATTTTTTTTTAATTAATTTTTTAAAACATGGTTTCCATCTCCAATTCAGGCTCCTCTCACTGAGTTCTCTTATTTGGAGAAAAGGTTTCTTAGCATGGGGCCTATTCTTGCGGTCCAAAGCCGTTTTCTTTTAGAGAAAAGGATTCTATCATCCGTGCTGCAGTGAAAAGTTATTAGAATTTATCGACATTCCCTTTCCTTGGGTTGTCAGCCACGGTTACCTCCAGATTATGGTATATTACCGCACACATTCCAGCAACTAGAAAAATAAATGAGCTCAGAGGGCGTAACTGCTGACATTCATCGTGTCCCTTTAAAGCGAGGCTTGACCGGTATTCTAAGGATAGGTTAAACACAGCCTTCAGCCTGGAGCAGGGGAAGAGAATATTCAGACCTAAGATTCGGGGAGAGCGCCTTGCCCGGGCCTACACTACAGCAAACCTGCGCCTCCTGGTGGGGAGCGGGTTACTGCGACTTCTGAAGGGGTGGGCCTAGATGAGGACAGCTGGTGGGTGGTACCTCAAACCCAAGGCTCTTGTCTCCCTTCTGTGCATATAATAGTCATTAGCAGCAACAGAATAAATGTGTCTTATTCCTAAGTAGAAAAGCAAGGTGTGAGTCCCATGTAGAGGGAGAAAAGAATAGCGAGAGAAAACGGTGCAGTAACAAAAGTGGGAGAAAGTTCTGTTACAAGGACAATAGTGTGTGTTTGGAAGAGAGAGAGCTTTGACCTAGGCGGGACTCAAGTCCACGTGTCACTCTGCTGCCGTCTTAATGGTTGCTTTTAGCCACTTACTCTCTATAAGCTTCAGTTTTTTTCCTTCTATAAAAGGGGGGGGGGTGCTGTACCTGCATTTGATTCATTTAAATTCTTACAGGAAATCCATATGCAAATTATCCTAAGCACGACAGGAATGGGTTATTGCACAGTTCTAAAGGACCAAACAGCAGGAAGCTTCTGGGTAGAAGTTAGTCCTGGGAAACATGTTATCAAGGACTCAAATTCTAGCCTGTTCTTCACCCTTCTACCTTTAAACTTCCCCTTTGAGAATTTTGGACAATGTATTTGGATCTTATTCATTCCCCTACTCAACTCCTCCAGCCCCACCTCCCTGCCCAGCTAAATGTGTGTCTTCCATGATGTCTAATTGGTGTTCCCCAATTCCCCGGGTTTGGGGCCATCCCCTGAGGCATGGTTGACTACCAGGATTCTCACTCTTAAAACTGACTCTCCCTCTCCCAACAGTTATCAATTGCCAATAGATCCTCAGCTAGGACTCTTGTGCCCACCTCCCGCATCTCTACTGGGATCTTTGTCTGACTTAAGCTTGCTCAGGTCCTGTGCATGCTGTCATGTGTTACACTGTGAGTTCATATGTGCCTGTTGTATCTGTAAAACACTGTTTCATTGTAGTCATCTGCCACCTCAGGCTCTTACATCCATCCCTGTCCCCCGTCCCCTTCTGCAATGCTCTCTGAGCCTTAGGAAGAGAGGTATGAAATAGATGGCCTATTTAGGGCTGCAAACTCCACCGTCTGTTCTCTGCACACTGACCACTGTGGGTCTCTTTGTTAACCACCATCAGCTGTAAAAATAAGTTTCTCTGATAAGGTCTCAGAGATGCATTAATCTATGTGTATAGCAATAAGTCAGTTTAATGCTATGTCCATTTAGCAGAATAATAGTAGTAGGTTCTCCCTTAGTGTCTATGACCACAGGTTCTTGGGTCTGATAATGGTGCCAAATATGGGTTCCATCTTGTAAAACCAGCTTTAAATTCAGTCAGAAAGTAGTTGGTTACTCCCATAACATTCATGCCAGTGTTACTGCATTAGTGTGTGTATCTTGCCTAGCTAGTCATTATTGTAGCTTGACAAGTTCTCAGATGGGTAAGACTGATGATTACTTGTCTATTCTGGTAGGATACGCAGCACCTTCCAGCTATGTATGAATGCTAACCAGTAGGGATGAAGCTTCCAGGTAGGTACCAACTTGATGTCTCCATGTTCACTAACTTGGGTCATTTTAAAAAAACTTTTTTTTTAAATGATCAATTTTGTGTGAAGCTGCTTCTTCAGCCAGTTGCCATCTGGGAACTAGCTACCAGAAAATATCTTTCAAATGGATCTGGTGATGTCATCACTCATCACTTTGTTTTAAATTACTGTGAATTTCGGTTTCCCTTTTTTGTTTTTTTATTGTTTTTTTTGTTTTGATTTGGTTTCTGTTTGATTGCTTGCTTTTATTTATTTATTTATTTATTTATTTATTTATTTTTGAGACAGTGTCTGGCTCTGCAGCCCAGACTGGCCTTGAATTCACAGTCATCCTTCCCCTGACTCTGGGCATTGCACAGCTGTGGGCCACAGTACCCAGCTCGATTTATTCTGTTTCATTTTACATTTTGCATCTGGTGACATAGATTCCTTCAGAAGTTGTAAACATGGTATGCGTGACTAATCTTAGCTGTCAATTTGGTTGGTTTGGGATTGACTAAGAGATAAACTGCTGGGCACACCCAGGAAAGATTTCCTAAGTCAGGTTATTTGAAATGGGAAGACCCACCCTAACTGTGGGTGGCACCTGCTGGTGTCAGCCCAGGTAAAAGTCCAAGGAAAAAGATTGGCTTTTTGCCTCATTACCTTCACCTCTCCTTGACAGGTTGCTGTGTGCTCTGTTTACAAGAGTAGCAGAGTTACTCTTGCTGCCTCCCAGTGCTACTGTCGCTCTGTTCCTTCATGGATGAAAACCCAGCTTTTTCAGGCTCCCAGTGTGGACTGTAGACCAGCAGTTCTCCAGGAATCCTCCACCCTTCAGTGCTAGTTGGGACTGCTGAGACAGCCAGGTTGAGGATTGGGTTCTCTACATTTCCAGTATGAGACAGTCATTGTTGGATATTGTGCAGGACACTCTACTAAATCTTATTTTAATGTATGTTAATTCTCTCTGTTCTGTTCTTCTAGAGAACTCTGCCTAATATAGTACATGACACAGCTTGTCAACCTGAGTGAACTTATCATGTTAAACTTAGCAAAATATGCAACTGAAACAGCTATCTCATTTTTATGTGGCCAATAAAGCTGGAGGAAATTAATACATCTCTGCTTCCTTAAGCTCTCCTTTCAATGCAGGAAAACCAAAACCTTTCCATTTGATAACACAGCTTGTGTCCATGTAAGTGGCATGATTGGCAATCACCATTCATAACAGCCTCATGCCAAGCCAGGACTTGTATACCCGAAGATAATGATCATTTAACTAATGAAATAAGTCCCAACAAACCCAGGCCAACTTGAATGTTTTCAAAAGAATGCTATTGAAAACATTTCCAGAGGCTTACAATTTCACAATGTATATCAAGGACTATTCTTAAACTTGGAAGACACTAAATGTCCTTTGACTATTGCTAAACTTGCTTTCACATCTTCTTTTCTTCCTAAGAGTCTCAAAGTGTGGGGCAGACGTCTTCTACAGCAGAAGATGAGCACAGCACACACTACTGTGTTCTTAATAAGGAGTCTTTCCAAACCATATCTTTTTTCACAGTCTCTTTGAGATAGGGTCTCCCCGTAGCCCCAGGAACTTGCTATGTAGACCAAGCTGGCCTCGATCTCACAGAGCTTTGCCTGTCTCTGCTTCCCAAGTGCTTGAATTAAAGGCATGCACCACCACCCCTGGCACAAACCATATCTTTAACAGGTACAAGTAGATTTGTTTTGTGCATCTCAGCCCATGATCCTTATAAATGACATGTCCTTATAAATGACAGCTGGACCTCTGTTTGCTGTGTTCAACTCAGTATCTTTTGAGTTCAGCACAGTGCTGCCAAATGCAGGGGCTCAATAAATACTTATTTTTATTTTCTTAAATTTCTTATTTGTGTGTGTGTGTGTGTGTGTGTGTGTGCATGCACACGTGCCTATGTGTGTATACCTGTGCCACAGAGTACATATGGAGGTCAGAGGATAGCTTATAGTAGTCATCTGTCTTTTTCCATCATGTGGACCCTAGGGGTTGAACTCAGGTTGTCCATCTTGGCAGAAAGTGCCTTTACCCACTGAGCCATTTTGCTGGCCCGACTAAAGGTTTTAATATAAATAAGTATACTATTTCTTAAGCATTTACTTTATGAAAAGCAATCTGTTTGCACTGTACTTTATTAGTACTGTCTGTGGGCAAACCTTACCTTCCAATATATAAGAATAGCTAATGTCACAGATTTGCAAAGAAATGTTTGATATAAAATTCTGATTGAGTTCACAGAAGACAGGTGAATTGTCTGAATTATTATCCTGAGGCTGAAATCTCGGGGCCTTAAACCCGCTAGACACGTGTTACACCACTGAGCTACACACTCTGGCTCCTGATGGGTTGAAATTTAGTTTTAAAAAGACAAATTCATATTTTTTTCTCTCTGGTTTAGTACCACAACATAAAAATGTTTTGAAATATTTTTCTTATTTCTAATTAATACTGAAATTGCTCATGAACTGTCAACTTGTCAAACCAAAGCATAAGTGGTTTTATTTTGCTTGACTTTTATGATCTACTTTATCAGCAGCCATTTCCCTTTTGTTTATCAGTGGCAGTTCTTTGTTTTGTGTTCACCTTGTACAGCCCTTATGTCCCAGTTCTCTTAGGGTTTCTTGCTCCTGGCGCTATTAGACAAACCACATAACACATCGTTATGTGAATTTTTCATAGCTTATATCCTGGGTAGGAGGCAAACACCCAGCACGCGGTTCTGCTCTATGGCTCAGCGGCCGCCATTCCAGACCGCTTTGCCCCATTCCAGATCGCCCCCCCACCACAGTCTTCCTTTCGCCCATGCATCGTGGGCCCACAGTCTCGCCCCAGCTTAGTAAATGCCCCCTCTTGCATCCATGTGGGCAAGACACCGGGGCCTTTTTTCCACAGCTGCTTCTGTCAATTCTCCCCAGTGGGCCCCACCCCTCAGAGGAACCAGGCTCCTTGGGACACACGTTACAAGTGACAAAGCCCAACCTTTGTGTGTTTACCTCCAGAGTAACAACGTCTTAACCACCTAACAATTATTCATGTGATGTCTGATCATTTCGATTCTGCCCTATTCAAGGGGGAAAAAATCATGAAATTATTTCATAAAATTCTAAACATCAAGTAGAAATAAACAGTTTGAAAATCGTTGAAGAGAAAACCTTGACAAATTGTGGGCCTCTGTATTAATCACCACCTACTGCAAAAAGACTTCTCTGGTGAGGGCTGAGAGACGCACTGATCTAAGGGTATAAAGATAAGAGCTTAGGGGTCATTATAGTCTATTACCCCCCCAAGACAAAGAGGCCATCACAGAAGAAGGGATAGAAAGAGTTGTAAGAGTCAGAAATGATGACTCTCTTCAGTGAAACAGTATTTGCTGGACATGAGAGGACCGTTGAACATAGGAACTCATAGTGGCTGTGACTGCATGCACAAGATCAACCATCCAAATCCCATCATGGATGGGGGAAGAGCTCATGAACTCCACCTTAGCTGAGAGGCTTCCAGCAATTGGACATGTAGGATAAGTGAGGGAGGAAGCATTCTTCATGGATGCGGCCCCTGAGAGATTCCTCATGCTCTGTAGATAGATGTTCCCGCTGCCATTCACATACAGGCAGCACTGAGAGAGAGGAAAAGAGAAAGCACATGATGTTGGGAGGGAAAAGTAGTGGGAGGGATGGGGAGGAATTGGGGGGATTTGATCAAAACACGTCATATGCATGTATGAAATTCTCAATTTAAAAAGAAAATCTTGACAGTTTTGAAGCAGAAGACTGAGTCAACATGCTCAATTAGCAGTCAGTAGTCTTGGAAAATTACTCTGAACTCTATGGAGAACTAGAAAGATTATTTTAGTAGGTCTTCCAAAATAAGTCAATAAATAACAAAACAGGAAGCTTCCTAGTGTGAAAAATCACCCCACAAAATTCAGTGCAAAAAAGAAAAGCATTTTTGAGCTGAAGAGCTACAATGATTGCATTATCTCCTCTAAACCATTGATTTGTTGTAAGATGTTTGGATAAGCACAGAAAAGTTCCATAAATAAGTTATTGTCTCTAGCTAATCCTGACAGATCTCCCTCGGGGAATGATTTGGTAGGGAAATGAGAATATAATCATGTGCTGACGAGAAGAACAAAGTCAATTCTTCTGTGTGATCTTTGTTTTACAGAATTTGGGTGAAATTTCCATGCAGGAGCCCAAGGGTAATCACAGCTACTTCTCATAGACCCACCAGCAAAGTGCACCCTCCACCTTCACTTATGGTGGTGACACATGAGAGATTCACAGTGTGAAGAACAGAGGGGAGCACAGCCAGCTAACAAAGAAGAACTTAGAAGATTTGTTAGTGGTTTTGTTTTTTGTTTTGTTTTGTTTTGTTTTTGTTTTGCAAGACAGGGTCTTGCTGTGTAGCCCAGGCTGGCCTGGGACTCTCAATCTTCCTGCCTCAGCCTCCTGAATGGAGATTTCAGGTGCATGACACTATGCCTGGCTACAGCCTGTTTTATTTGTTATTATTCTTTTTTTCTTTGTTGTTTGTTTTCGAGGCAGAGTCTCACAACATAGCACAAGCTGGCCTTGAACTTGTGATCCTCCTGCCTCAGCCTCCCAAATGCTGGAGTCCTTGACATGTACCAGCTAGCAGCTGTTGTTTCTCGTACCTTATAATCACCTTCCATATTTTCTCACCCCTCCATGGGGGCGTTGTCTGAATTATGAGTGCGCCTTGTCAACATTCCCTAGAGCTGGGTGACCCAGACTCAGCCAATCAAATGCACCTGCACACACCATTTATTGGAAGAGAGTTACATGAAGAAGAAACCCTTCATAAAGTATACCAAAGGCAGGCAGAGAGACTTACCCACACCACCACTGTACCAGCAGGTCTCAGGGAAGCTGTGCCATGCCCAGCCGGGAGCAGGAGCCGAGATGCAGCAGCAGCAGCAGCAGCATCCCAGACAGACACAGCAGCCAGCACAACACGAGGACCTGATTTGTCTTACTCTTCAGCCCTTGCAAAAATTCCACGATTTCCACTTAAGATTCTACGGAAAAATAAATATCTTACATAAAATGTGCATTCAACTGCAATACCAATGTCAGGAGGAAAGAAAATAGATACACTTAAAACATTTCCTTCCTATGTGTGATCTGGTTGGTGTACTATTACATACATGAAAAGCATATACTGTAAAACAGTTTCCAGTATAGTAGAAAAGAGATGATAGCCATTAATCTAGGAAAGGAGACAAGGATTAATAAAAAGTAAAATGCCTCAATCCAAAGGAAGGCAGAGTAGAAGAGAAACAAATCACAGAGAGGGAATGGGAGAGAAAACCAGGAAGGCAGCACCAGTTGTGAATCCCACCATGTCTGCCACATCCACTGAGGAGAAGGAAGGAGTGTAAGCGTAACAATTAAGAAGCAAGGATCCTGGGGCTGGGGAGATGCTCATTGGTCAAGAGCCCTGGCTGCTTTTCCAGAGGACCCTGTTCCATTCCGAGCACCCACATAGCAGCTAACAGCCATCTGTAACTCCAGTTCCAGGGGCTCTAACATCCTCTTCTGACCCCCTTGGGCACTGCACGCATATGGTACATTTACAAACACGAAGACAAAACACACATAAAATACAATAATATTTTTTAATTTAAAAAAGTAGTCAGGCATGATGGCACACACTTTAATCCTAGCACCAGGGAGGCAGAGGCAAGCAGATCTCTGTGAGATGAAGGGTAGCCTTGTCTACATGGTGAGTTCCAGGCCAGGTGGGGCTACAGGGGGACTCTTTATCAATGCCCCTCCCCCAAAAAAGCCCCTAAGTTGACAAGGATTCTAAGATTGGTCATAAAATGCAAAACTCAGCTACATGCTTCCTATAACTCTTCAACTTTAACATGGGTGCACTTACCTACATACAGGCACTACACTCATATACATAAAATAAAAATAATGATAATAAAAAAATGGGCTGGAAAGATGAACAGCACTGGCTGTTCTTGCAGAGGGCCTGGATTTGATTCCCA